ATCACCACCAGCAGGCCGTGAAGGGTGCATGAGCTTAGAGGTCTACACTGATTTGCATGTCTCGTTCCCAGAGCTGTGGCTGTTCAAGTGTCTGGCCCATTACTTTGCTGCAGATTCCTTCATTTCTTCTGCTTAAGGTTATCCATTTATCCCAAAAGGGGTGATGCAATTTGAGATATGGGAAATAAAGAGCAGTGATGACAACTTCCTTTAGTGTTGCCATAAGAAGGTCAGAGTAGGGGGCTGCTTGCAGGTACAATACTCCAGGACACCAGGCATGTTCCCCCACCAGCCTCTCACGGGACCCTACATTCCCCAGGAGAAATTCAATTCATTGAGTCTTGAATGTTTCTAGGCTTTCCTGTTTAGAAACAAACATCTTTATTAAGATGGTGATGCTCTCCAAGGCCTTCAGGGGCTAGGCAGGTGATTCACGTTTGGAGGGGATGGGGTTAGACAGAAAGATGAGTGGGTTACTATGGCAACCTGTGGACTGCTTGCCCTAGACATAAGCACTGACAACATGGCATGGCCAATAGTCCATGGATCACAAGTTTGTAACTCCGGTCAAAGGGTTATATATACATATATATATATTTTTTTTCTTCTTCCTGATTATCAAAGTTTATTGTAGAATACCACGCAGGGGTAGAGAACCTGCGGCCTCAAGGCTACATGTGGCCCTCCAGATCCCCAAGTGCGGCCGCTCGACTAAATCCAAACTTCACAGAACAAATCCTTTTAATAATTTGGATTCAGTAAAAAGGATCCAGAAGGCCACCCATGGCCCCAAGGCTGCAGGTTCCCTATCCTTGATTGGGAATAAAAACTACAGAAAAGTCTAAATATGCAAATAGAATCATCAATACTTCTCTCCTTTGCCCTCCCCCCCTTAAGTACTATTGGTATTTTGACATATTCCTTTCTGTTTTTATTTTCTTTTTACTGCAGTGATGGGGTATGCATTGAAGGAAAACATTTGAACCTTAGTTAAGAAATACTCGGGGTAAAAATAAGGATATCACTAGATCACATTTCAGACTGAAAATTCACGAGGAGTAAGGCCCTGGGCGGATATAACCTGGAGAGATAAGCGGGAATAGTAGAATACAAGAGGGTGAACTGGAGATGAGGACGGAGATAAATTCCCTGTTGTCCATGGATTTGCCAAAGGAAAACTGGCCACACGCGGGTGAAGCAAGGAGGTCCGTGGAAGCAGGGGGCTGCCTTTGGGGGTTGTGGGGGGTGAGGTGTTAAAATCAAAGACCCTGAGACCTCCTCTCTGTCCCTTCCATCCCCATCTTCCAACCAGTTCAAAAGACACTAATCTAATTAGAAAATTTTTAAAAAAATTAAGCAGCAGAAATTTTTTTTGTTCTCCAAGAAAATCTTAGGAGGAAGCTGTTTATGTAAACAAAGGGAAGCAGAGCCGGTCTGTTCTGAAGAGGGTGGGGGGCCTGGAGCCCCCTCCCACCCCCAGACTCCGAGCTCATCCGGGTCAGTATCTGAAAACCCACCCTCCTCCTCGTGGTCTGCCCTTGCTCTGAGAAGCCGTGCTTCCCTCTCGGGTCTCCTGGAACTCCTCTGGGTTCTGGTCCCCGCAACCCTCCTTCCATTCCCGGCTCTGCCCCGCATCTGCTTGATGAATCTCCTCTCTTCGGGTCCTAAATACGTATTGACTTTTGCAAAACTTCCCCAGCCGTTCTCAGAGAAAGATTGACAAGTGTAGGGTCGAGGGGAAGGAGGTTGAGCTATTTTAAATGTTAGTAAACATGACAGCTTGTTGAGGATTAACAGGAAATCATGAATAAAATCATTGGGATTTGATAAGGGATTTTTCTCTCAGACAATTAAAGATTTTTACATTATCTCCCCTCCCACCCCCCCAAAAAGAGTAATGGATGAAGGTCATTAGGATAACACATTATCGCTCTAATGCTCTTAAAACTGATAAACGACCGAAGTCCTTAAGCCTGTGCTGCCCACGGGCCCCTGTGTGCTGTGCTTGCCATTCTTGCATCTTTTTAGCAGGCGATACTGTCCTTTAGTATCTCCTACTTAATCCTCAGTTTTCTTTTAAACATCAGATATTGGATAGGCTGGAACCTTGGTTAAGCAGTAAAGAACTCTAGTGTTTTGTGGCCAAGACCTGCCAAGGAGAAAAATATTTTTGATACAAAAGAATAAGTCATTAAAGGAAGTAATGAAGGCAATTTAAACTCTCCACAAACACATCACTGGGTGAATAAAGCTCATTGCTCTCAGTTGAGGGTCATGAGTGAATGAAATGTGAAAAAAAAACAACAAAAAACCAACTGCACAAATGGGCCAAAAATCTCAGTGGAGCTTAGTCAAGCCTGACAATTTAGAATTTGACAAATAAGCAAGGGGGAAGAAAGAGTTTCATTAATATTATGAGAAAAACCCTCTGGAATAAGGCATTGAATTTCCATGCTATTTTTTGCACTCATGCACTTACATGGTCTTAGGGAAAAATCTGACTTTGAGTTGAGATTTGGGTTATCTGATTATAGCTCAGGGGTTCTCCCTCACACTCCCTCGGCCAGAAGCATGTGTTATCTCAGAAACCAGTGTGAATGGTTGGGATGATGGACAAATGCAGTAGTGAGAGCAGAGCTGCAAGATCTGGGTGTTTGTGGACGAGAGTCAGCCGGTTACAGCCCTGTGAAGCACCTAGTCCACGGGGGCTGAGATGACTCGGTGTCACTGGGTAGGTCTGACCTGGTACACATTTGTCCACCAACCCTCCAGCCCAAGGAGTTTAATCTGAAAGTCAGCACATACTAACTGTTGAGAGAGGTGTCTTGGACTATTCTTCCCCCCGCGTTTCTTTTTTTCTTTTTCCAAGACAAAGTCTTACTCCGTTGCCCCGGGTAGAGCATAGTGGCATCATCACAGCTCACAGCAACCTTAAACTCCTGGGCTCAAGTGATCCTCCTGCTTCAGCCTCCTGAGTAGCCGGGACTACAGGTGCATTCCACCACGCCAGGCTAATTTTTTTATTTTTAGCAGAGACGGGGTCTCACTCTGGCTCAGGCTGGTCCCGAACTCCTGAGCTCAAGAAATCCACCCACCTCGGCCTCTCAGAGTGCTAGGATTACAGGCATGAGCCACCACACCTGGCCAGTCCCCCTGAGTTTCTTTAAAGAGAATTTAATCTATGAGAAAATTAGATCTATAAGATAGGGTCTTGTGGGAAGCCTCCACCAGGACGATTGAGCAAGCACAGAGAAATCTTGTTGAAGGGAAGGAAACCCTAATGTGCTCTGTTACAACTCCTATCCGATGTGAGAAAGCCCATTCTGCATCCCAGCTGGGTGGACATCCAGAATTTTCCTGGGAATTTTCCATGCCCCGTTGCTCACTACCACATAGAGTCCATCTGCTTGTGGAACAGCCTCAACACTGAGGAATTCCTTTCCCAAACTGAGCTCAACCCTTGTGTTGTGATCTCTGTCTCATTTGGTCTCGTGGTCTCTCCCTCCTGAGAGTGGCCAGGACACAAGACGGCCACTCTCCAGGAGAGCCCTGGCCCCGGGTAAAGCCGTGTTCAAGTGTGTTGGTCAGGTGAGGCAGGGGCAGGCAGTTCAGCAAGACACATGAGATAACAGGAGCATTTTATTAGTTACAGACCCTTGAGAATAAGAGGGGTGCCCACAAGAGCCAATGGGGAGTCTGGCGGCAGCGGGGAGCTCAACCACCGGGTGCAGGGAGAGAGCACCTGTGGGACTAGGCCTTTATTAAGGTCCACTGTGCTATCCCTTAGGCTTCCTGCCAGGGTTGTGGATTGGGTGGTTTACAGAAAACGTGCATTAACAGTGCATCTTATTCACGTGACTCTGATGCTGGCCATTAGGGTCTATCGTGGGTGGCAGGTGTGCGATGTGTTGCATTTGTGGTCAGTGGGATGAGGAACAGGTGGGCCATAGCTCAAACAACGACATAGGCAGGGCAACTTTCCACCCAGTGGAAGGTGATGGGGTACAACTGAGTTTCAAGAAACTTAGGTCTAAAAATGGATGCTGAGACAACTATATTAAACAAATTTATGACACCTTGATTAACCACAAACTAGATTCCATTCTCTTCAGGAAGAATGCCCAAGGCGTCTCTTACACATGACAGCTTTTCAGGTACTACATGTCACTCAGAATCTTCTCCTTCCCCACCTAACCTCACAGTTTGCTTAATGCAAATGACAATATCCTAGTCCTCTGAGATTCAGGAAGGAAGAGGGGAAATATGATGGAAATCAATCTCTCTCTCTCCATCTCATCCTCCCCCCACATCATTATTATTTTTTCTGAGACTAAGTTATACACTTTCACATATTCCAATTGTGAATTTCCTAAAGACAGGAATATTCTCTTATATAACCACTGTTTATCAAAATCTGAAAATAAACACTGATACAAAACTATTAGCTAATCTACAGACCTTATTCAAACTTGACCAATTGCCCCACTAATGCCTTTTATAGCAAAAGAAAAAATTGTTTTCTGGCCTGTGATCTAAATTTATATCGTTATAATTACACATTGCACTGAGCTGCCATGTCTCTTCAGTCTCCTTGAGCCTCGGTTTTTTTGGCTTTTTTTTTTTTTTTTTTGCCTTTCATGACCTTGACGTTTTTGAAGAGTATAGGTTTGATACTTTGTAGCATGTTCATTTTGGATTTGCTGATTGTCCTTATGATCGAATTCAGGTTGTGCATTTTTGGCAGGGGGACCGTAGAAGTGATGTTGTGTCTTCCGCAGAGCATCGTACGAGGGGCACGTCATGACTGTCGGTCCCATTACTGGTGATGTTGACTTTGATCACTTGGCTAAGGTGACACACGCCAGTTTTCTACACTGAAAAGTTATTATTATTCCCTTTATAATTAATAAGTATCTTGTGAGAGATACACTGGGACATTGTTGAGCAGGTGTGGCCCTGGAGAGCCTGTGATTGACTTTGCCTTGTTCCTTTGCTTTCAGAGTCTAACAGCCGCAGGGCGGTGAACAGAGGCTACGTCACCAGCTTGCTCAGGCTGCATCAGGACTGGCACAGTCATGACACAGCCAACACCTACGTTCTGATCCGCCGGGGCTTCCTGCTCTGCCTCAGGCACATTGTCACCCTCCGCTCGGGCAGGGAGGCCTTCCTGGCAGCCCAGGGCATGGAGATCCTCTTCAGCACTGCACAGGTAGTTGGCATTGGATTCCATCTGTGGTTGGATAACATCTGGATGATTCCGGAATCATCCCAAACAGCTGGGAAACCTCCATATATTTCTTGCTGCTATGGGCAGATGTTCTGGATTCAAATCCTCATTCATTCATTCATTCCCTCATGCATTGATTCATTCATTTATTCAGTATATATTTACTGAATACACACTATCAGAGGTACAGTGTGGTGTAGCAGCTAACAGTGCTGATTTGCCTTGGCTCACACTTTGGGAGGCTGAGGTGGGAGGATTGCTTGAGCCCAGGAGTTTGAGGTTACAGTGAGCTATGAGGATGCCCCTGCATTCCAGCCTGGGTGACAGAGCAAGACCCTGTCTCAAAAAAAAAAAAATTATAAAAAAAAAATTACGAAAAAAGAGTATTGACTCCTGCTGGAGTAGCTGGGTTCAAATCCCAGCTTGAGCACCTACAGCTGTGAAATGTTGGAGACGTCACCAAGCCTCAAGTTTCTTTTTCAAAAAGAGTAGAAACCATAACATCTAGGTTGTGTGGACAAAGTAAGTTAATGTAGAAATGTCGTGTGCTTAGAAGAGTGCCTGCCATAATTTACCTGCTTTTGAGTATGAGTAGTTATTGGAATAATTAGCCCTGGGGAACCAGTGGTGAATATGACAGACAGGACATATAGATCTTATGGGGCAAACATACAGCAGGAGAGTCAGACATTAAGCAAGCAAAGAACCCAGTGAGGAAGGTAACTCCACATTGCTCTGTGAGATCAGTAAAGTGAGGGCATAGGTCTACAGTGACTGTCACAGGCAGAGGGACAAGGTGTTCTTTTAAAGAGGTCAAACCCTGTCTGAGCAAGTGACAACTGAGCTGAGACTTGAATTAGTGGAGGTGCTGGCCTTGCCAAGTTTAAGGGCAAGAACATCCTAGGCAGAGTGAATAACTCCTCCAAGGGTTGCTGCTTACCTGCACCCCAGTGGCATATGTGGTCTAGAGTCTCCTGGATTTCAACCCAAGTAGCACATTCCTTAATTTCACTTGCTTAAGGCTAATTGAAACACCATAGTTTGAAGATACGTATACCCTCTCTATTGGCGATATGAGTATTCCAAATGTCCGCCATCTTCTCCTCACCTTCTCCTGGGGCCAAGGCAGCCGCGATTCACATGCATTATGTTCCCATCGTCTTACTGTTCCAGTCCTCGCACTCCCCTCATCAGTCTCGTCACTCCTCTCTGGACACCCTCTGATCTTTCTCTACCTGAGTACATCCCAGGTAATGAGCAGCCAATGAGAGTGTTGTTTTCCAACCATGGCATCTACAGATACAGACTTTTCTCATTAAGAAAATGGCTCCCCCCCCAAACAATAACAAAATACTGTGCTGCAAACCGGTATCTAATTTTCTATCCGATATCACCTCTGGGTTTCTCTCTATCATTACAGCTGTCAAAGCTTCTCGGTCATGAAATAGCTATATTTCACATTCTATGTCTTTGAATTTCCCCAAGCTTTGAATTTTTCCAAACCTCCCCATGTTTTGTAAGCTTGTGGTCCCCCAAATCTCTCCCAGTCCTTGTGACATGCCCTCCTATATTGCTGCTGCCTAACAGACCTCCATTGCCATCTGTGTGCTGCACCCAGTTCCTCTGCCCTCTGTGTTATTGGCCGTTTCTCTGTCCCGTGCTAAAAAAATTTGCAAGAATGCTAACAGAAGAAGATGGTGATCATGGAGGTACACAGCTACAATAGGAAGTCGGTGGAGGAAATACTGAGTGACGCTCAGGCAGATGAGCAGCTGCAAGCCCAGGTGTAGGCTCTTAGAAGCGGTTCCTCCGCAGGTCAGTGAAGACCTCAACTGCTCAATTAAGCAACTTAACTGAAAGCTCTGAGCCTCCAATTACTGCTGGGAATGGAAGGACAGTGTGAGTGGAGACAACTCTGCACTTTTTCACAAGGTTTCTCCAGCCCGTGTTATAATCGCTACTGGGATTATATGAAAAAGAAGCTCAGGAGGGGTCTGTGGAGTGGTACTGAGTAAACAGGCCATGAGACGCTAAGGCTGTCACCTGGAAGAGTGTGCAGAACGTATGGAGGACAACTTCAAGGGGTTGGATTCCTCACTCCAACCCCCACCTTGCTTTTTGCTTTTGGTCTTTTCAAGCATGTTCTCCCAGAGATGTTATTAAGTTTACGTGCAAAGTCTGACATTTGACATTCTCATGTTTTTGGAAAATGATCCTTTTAGGTGAAAGATACACTGCCCTGGCTTAGAAACCAAATGGCCCATTACTGTCCCCTGGCCCAATAGCCAGTGTAGAGCAGCCTCCCAGACCTGGTCTGGGTGCTGTGGGCACAGATGCCCTTGTAGCTGTGCTGGGGTCCAAGCTGCTTGTCACCTCTCCTCTCCCTCCTGCTGGAGGAGGCGTGGGAGTCACTGGATGGACAGTTTAGGAACCTTGGATTTGGGGATGTTATTTCAGTCGCTACTTTGCAAGTTGTGCTGCCACTGCTGCAGCAGAAGAAGAAAGAGAAGAAGAGGAAGAGGACGAGGAAGAAGAAGGTTACTTTGTATTGAACTCTAACTGGTTTAGCACAGACTCTCCAATTTTGACATTTTAAAAAGCTTTTGAGGTAGGCCTATTATTATCTTCATTTTACAGATGAAGAAACCAAGGTACAAAAATGTTAAGTGATTCCCCCAAGTTCACAAAGTTGGTCAGTGTTGGAGCCAGGGTTTGAAGCTGGCAGTTGGTCCCATGCGAGAGTCCACACTATTGCCCACTGCACCAGCAATTCTTCGAGTTGGGTACACATTGGAGTCACCTGGAGGGCCCAGTAAAACAGCTTGCTGGACCCCATTCTCAGAGTTTCTGATTCTGTAGGTCTGGGGTGGAGCCCGAGAATTTGTTTTTCTGACAAGTTCCTGAGTGATGCTGATACTGCTGGTGGGGAAATCAACACTTGAAAACTGCTGTCTTACACTATTTCTACTGGGATTCATGATGTAATTACAAACCTACTGGGCATGAGATTGACTGAGAAATAACTTTTTTGAGTCCTTCCCACAGCCTTTGCCCATCCTGTTGTTCTTTTTTCTCTTTCTGCAGAGGCCACTGCTTGCATTGTCTCTCTCTTGGTGACTCCATCTCTTTGTTTCCTGGGTCACACGTTCTTGCACAGATCCTCTAAACATGCTCTAAAAGTTCAAAGGCTGAGATTGCCCACGATGCAGGCTGTATAGTGTAATGCAGTCTTGTGAAAGCTTTGGATGAGGAAGGAGAGAGAAGGATGACAATTTGAATGTGAGCTTAAAAACAAGAACTCATATAAGGATCCCCTGAAACAGTAGGAGATAGTTATTAATGTAGAGAAATCGTTAATCCTGGAAGGCCAGAACTGCATAAAATAATCAGATAAAAGGACTACTCTTTGGTGCTGCAACAGCTTAAGCAACCTAAAAAGTTGCTAAAATTGGTGGTTTTCAAACTTAGCATGTGTCAGAATTACCTAGATAGCTTGATAAACACATATTTCCAGACTCTTCCTCTAGAGTTTCTAGAGTCTGAGGTGAGGCGCAAGATTCTGCATTTCTAACAAGTTCTGAGGCGATGCTGATGCTACTGGTCTGAGTACCTCACTTTGAGAACCACTAGGATAAGCAGGAATGTAGCCTTTTAAAATTCACAGCTATTGCCATTTGCTCAGAAAGAGCATCAGGCCAAGCCTCGAGTCATCAGGATCCTCTGCCCAACAGGACCAATGACCGCAGCATTGTGGATGTGAGGAAGGAAGGACTGAATCCTAACCGGAATGTTTCCAAGTTGGAACGAGGACCTTGATACCCTGGAGTCCAGATTAGTCTGAGATCATTTTGTTTATTCAATAGATGCTTTCTGAGCTTCTGCTCTGTGAAAGGTCATCACCTTTGGGGCTAGGTTATGTGGGGAATTCAGAGATGAAGATGAGAGAGGACCCGTCCTTCTCAGGAAAGTTACGTACTTCAGGAGCAAGTAGGAGATGGATGAAGGCAGTGCAGGCAGCGGGCGGGACGTATTGCAACGGTGCCCTCGGCAAAGCCACGCAGGGCAAGGAGCGCCCTGCTTGGTCCTGGCTGCCCAGAGAGAGCTCCGAGAAGGCAGTCACATTTGAGTCAGGCTAGGGGAACATCTTGGAAAGCTTGAGAGAAACACTTGGTGTTTGCACTGTTCAGGGAAGGAGAAGGAGGTGGCATGAGGTACAGGTGGAGAGAGAAGCAGTGTAGAACTAGTGGGCAACCAAGATAATTTGGAAAGACCTGAGTGAGAATAAACCAGAAGGTCCCAAACCGAGGGCGTTTCCATGTAAGACATTCCTAAATTGAAGCTACGCCGCATGTGTCCTGGGCCTTAGAATTTGCCCATCTGTGTTCAGAGAGTGGCTGGAGAGAGAGAAGGGAGAGACGGGCTGCCCTGGGCTGGGGTGGAGGAGTAGCCGTCAGACCTGAGCCCTGAATGAGTGGAAAGAACCAGTGACAGGAAGGTCTGGATATGAGGGTTCCAGGGAGAGAAAAAGAAAGCAAATGCAAAGGCCCGCAGGTAGGGGGTAGGAGGGTAGCAGGGTGAGCTTGAGAAACAGAGAAGCCGGCGCGGCAGAGCGTGGTGAGTAAGGGCGGGACGGTGTGAGACGAAGTCGGGGACATAGACAAGGATGGAACATTTAGAGCTTCTTGAACCATGGTGAGAAATTTGGGTTTGATTTCCATCAGATTTTAAGCAGGTATGAAGAGAGGGGAAGGCATGAAATTAGATAGGGAGGGCCAGATTATACAGAATTTTCTATCAGAATTTTATTTCTATCAGGTTTGAAGCAGGGGAGTGACCTGATATGATTTATACTTTTCATTTTTTTATTATTGAAAAATTTTAAATTAATCGTAGTAAAATACATACAACAGAAGTCACCATCTTAACCATTTTAAAGTGCACAGTGCAGTAGCGTTAAGTATGTTGTACGAACGCCGCCTCCACCCATCCCTCTCCAGAAACCTTTTCGTCTTGAAAAACTGAAACTCTGTACCCATTAAAGTGATTTATGTGTTTAAAGGACCATTCTGGCTGCCATTTGGAGAGGAGATTATCAGAGGGCACAGGGGAAGGAAGGAGAGTTAGGGGAGGAGCTCACTGTTTGTGGGAGTTTAGGTGGGAGATGCTGACGGCTTTGGCTAGTTAGAAGCAGAGCTGGAACTTCAACCCAGGACTTCAGACTCTTAGTTGGGATCCTCATCCACGGAAATGTTTCACTGTGTCATCACAAGGATGGTTGCTTGGCTCTTCCCCGATTAACAGTGACTTTTAGGATCTGCTTGCAGATTCTTATAATATTTTATGAACCTAATGGTGCCTCTGACATCCCACTAGCTAACCCCGAGTGCTTACTATTAGGCACTTTGCCTACTTTAACACATTTAATTCACACACAAACTTATGAGAGAGGTTCTGTCATTATCTCCACTTTACAGATGGGGAAACTGTGTCACAGCTTGCTGGGGTTATGCAGTAAGGAATCGTCAGCCCAGGATTTGAATTTAGGTCATCTGGCTCCAGGACCCGAACAGTTTGCTGTTACTATACCTTGTCTATGTATCATAGAAGTGAGATATTTATTAGTATTATTCCAAAGCTAATTCGAAGATCTTAACTATGACAAAGCATTGAGTGTTCTAAGCACTCTCCTATTTCATCATCCCTTCCAACTAGCAGGTGTATTATTGGGAATGATGGGAAAAGGGAGCCTAAAAAATCTCACCTTTGTCCCCAATTCTGAGACGTTTGTCCACAGGGATCCTATTTCTTGGAGTCTTGTCATTTCGTGATGTACAGCACAAATGCCAGCCCAGCACTTGCAGGAGACTGAGAGCAAGTGCCTCCTTACAGTTTGCCTCCTGGGCACCTCATTTACTTCACTTTAGTCCTAGCCTTGCACAGAATCTATCTATTAGCACGAGGGAAATGTTGACAAATGGATCTAAGAATTTCTATTATCTCCGAACCAGGGATCATCTTTAAATTCATAGAAATTTTCCCCAGAGTGTAGCAGACACCATATACAGCATTATCCTGAGTGCCTTGGTATCTGTAGATTTTAATACCCCTTCCATCCCCCAAATTCAGTTCATGGTGTGGCTCAACCTTTCAGAACATTTAGACTTAGCTCCACCCTGCTACTCACACACTTTTTACCTGTACCATCCCACCAAAGTAAAAAATATGATCATCTCTATCATCAAAGGCAATCATAGATGTACCTGGATGTTGGAATTTTTGACTGAGTTCCCTGGCCTGGACTTGGCTGCTTCTCCCAAGATTGGTGCTTAGAACATTATCTCCGATCAGCCGTCTACCTCACTTTTTCTCTTCTTCTTCCATGCTGTTTTATTTATTTATTTTTTCCAATACTAACATTTTTCACTAAACACTTGAGGCCATTTGACCAGGCCAAGGAATGAAACAGCCTCAATTAATTCATTTTCCACTGAGAGTGTTTACTGCTGTGTGCATAGAGACTGTTGATTCAGGACACCTTCTTGGTATCATCTGAGCACACAGAAAAGGAGAGGGCATTCTTGATTGTATTAAGATATTTCTGTTTTGACAGCTGGATGACTTACATTTTGGAGTCATTTGGGTAGCTTGAATTCATGGCCAAATTTTTATTAAAATTTGTTTTTCTCTGTGTTCTTTCACGTGGAGCTACTTGCAGCGTGGGCCTGGAGATTCCATAGCATGGTGGCATCACAGGCGTTCACACTGCCCTGCGGGGGGTACTTGGCATCCACCATGTCTACGTCTATGCCTTGGTGGCCTCAGGGCTTTCTGCACCCTCTAGGAATTTCAAACTGGAGGCTCACATTAGTCAACTTTTTGTACCAAGTCAGTAGATAAAACATTTACTAAGATACTGAAGAAAATGGTTGTGTTTTTGCCAAAGAGATATTGAACTCTATCCAACTCTCTTTCTCAATTTAGTGAACTTGTTCTTACATTTTTCACAGTGTCTGAAAAGAAGGGTATTGTCATGTTCCATCAGTATCAAAATGTTACATCTGCAAACCCAATTTTTCTTTGCTTTGGGAAGGTACCAAGAGGGATCAACACACTGGGCTTTGAGAAGAGGCATGTTATTTAATTTAGGTACTTGTGATTCACTTAATCTTTTCTTACGAGTTCATTTTTATCTTTTTCTTTTATATTTTTATCTTCATAAGACAGTTGAAAGAGAAAAGCAAGACTTCCCTCAATTCAGCTATTCATTCCCTGACTCAGGCAGTGATTCGCAATGGCACATGGATGGCTGAAAGAGGATGCTCTCCTCCTCGCCCCCAGCTACCCCGGTGTAGCATCCCTTGAAAGAGCTTTAAGTCTGCATTCAGACTAAATGCATTCCAATAACATACGAACTGTGCAAGAGAAATAAAAATGCAGATTCTACACTGCACAAAATTCTACATTAGAATGTTCAAATTCGACACTCTACATTAAGGCTGTTTACTGTCTATTTAGGCTGTGTATAACTCTTTACTTGACATAGTGTTACAGCAAGGGGACTGTACCTAGATGTCAGTGTCTGATGCAATCTTCCCTTTACTCAGAACTGCCTAGATGACAAGAGCGTGGAGCCCGTCATCTCCGAGGCAATTCAGATCCTGAGGCAATGCTACCCAAAGAGTCCCCTTCCTTTGGTCACAGCCAGCAGTGCTTATACCTTCCCAGTCCCTGGGAGCATCACCCCCGAACCTCCACGTGATCTAACTGAAGGTAAGAAAAGTGGCTAACTATGACCTTTAAGAGGAATGTTTGTATTTTGCCACTATTTCCAAGGAATGTGGATGAAAATAGAATCAGTTATTGTACAGGTCAACCATGATTGTCTAAAAAGCTAATGAAAGAGATATATGAAAAAACAGTTTTTTCATAAACAGGGTGAACAAATACCAAGCTCACTTATTTTGTTCTTAATTACTAACTGTGGCCACTTTGCCTGGTAGCTATCAATTACCTGTACAGTCATCTCAGCTAATTAAAAAAAATATTCTATTCACAATCCTGTGATCGAGTCTCTCCATTTTACTGACTGATTGTGGAATTAATTTGCCCTAAGGATGAAATTGAAATAAAACTCTTGCTATTTACAACCCAGGCTAGTCATATTGGAATATTTGAAAGTATGATTATTTAATCTCCAGGAAGATCTTACTGTCAAATAATTCTAGTGCTTTTCAGCCCTGCTTTCCTACCATGGAATAGATTTTTTTTTTTTTTTTTTTTTTTTTTTGAGACAGAGTCTCACTTTGTTGCCCTGGCTAGAGTGAGTGCCGTGGCGTCAGCCTAGCTCACAGCAACCTCAGACTCCTGGGCTTAAGCGATCCTTCTGCCTCAGCCTCCCACTAGCTGGGACTACAGGCACGTGTCACGACACAATTAATTTCTTTCTATTTTTGGTAGAGATAGGGTCTCGCTCTTGCTCAGGCTGGTCTCGAACTCCTGAGCTCAAACAATCCGCTCGCCTCGGCCTCCCAGAGTGCTAGGATTACAGGCGTGAGCCACCGCGCCCAGCCGGAATAGATTTTTTATGGGCATGATTTTGCCACAGTGGCACTGGATGCTTTCTGTGGACTTTTGTTTTAAACAACTTCCTCAATCTAAAAATTGGGGACTCAATTAAGGTGACATCTAAGTTATAACAAGTTTTGTATGTAGGTGATCTCTAAATTTTAGCAATGTTAGTTGTGTAAACACCTCTAACTTCAGTGGGAGAATCCAGAGTGATATTCGTGTGTCATTTCATTCTGCACTTCCTTTGTGTTCAGTGAGGGACAACTGTTGGGACGTCATGACATGGTGCTTCTGCATATCCATGCACACGCCATTCACACACACCAACGAGCATGGATTGTGTTGTGACATTGCGCGTGTAATAATAGGACCCTTATTTGTGAGGGGAAGAAAAACTGATCACTGTGTGGTGTGAGTGTAAATACCGTGCAAAGGGGAAGCCTCACTTATGTCACCTCTTTCTCTCTATCAGAGGATTTTGAGGATGACGGTGATGAAGAGGGGGACAGAGGCTCAAACTCTGAAGACGTGAAGGAAGAAGTAGGTACATGAGCCCTTGCTTCTAATGATCTCCATACTCACATCATGCAAAGAAAAATGTCACTTCCTATGTTTGCTTAAGCCCAGTGTAAATTTTGAGGACTTACTTTAATGCTGCTACTCCAGTGACAGTGACACTCAGTAAATGACAGCTACTGTATTGATTTCCAAGTTGTCGTTTTCCTCTTGGTATGTCTGGTACAATGTCTCATTGTAAAATCAGAGGCAATCCGTTATTAAGACGCTAAGACTCCATCAGGATGAGCCTTAGGTAGACACTGAATGCTTAGGGTTGGTACATTTAATAAGTGCATGTGACACCATAGAAAGATTTTTCAGGAAACTTTCTAGTAGATCTCACCTATCTTTGTAAGTCACTCTTCTTATCTCCCACTCTACACAGGGCTGCTGAATTACACGATTCCATTTACTTCAGAGTCTGTGTGAATGGCGCTCCCTTATGTTGCACGGTGCACAACCTAGCCAGCAGGGAAGTGATGCTCCTTGGTCCCTATCCCGTAGTGGCCTATCCTGTAGAACAGAGGTCAACAAACTTTCTATGAAAACTCAGATAGTAATTATTTCAGGCTTTGTGGACCAGAAAGTCTTTATCAAAACAACTCAACTTCACTGTGGTAGCACAAAAGCAGCCACAGACGATACATAAACAAATGGCCATGACTGTGTTTCAATAAAACTTTGTGTACAAAAGCAAGCAATGAGACATGGTTTACTGATTGCTTTTCTACAACAAGATTGAGAAATCTTGGAACTATTGGCATTTAGACTGGATAGTTCTTGGTTGTGGGCAGCTGTCCTGTGAGTTGTGAGATGTTTAGCAGCATCGCTGTCCTCGACCCGCTAGATATCAGTAGCACCCATCCCTTTGCTCCCTAGGCATGAACCAAAAATGTCTCTGGAAATTGCCAAATTTGTTCCTAGTTGAGAGTCACGTTCTAGAATAATAATTTGTCTGTGAGTTATAATTCTGTCTCCATTTCTGTTGGTGGACATGTACTTGGACAAGTTCATTCAAGTTATAGTTTCTTAATTTTGTCATTTGTAAATAAGACTCAGAAGTAAATATTACTTTTTATGACATTTTTGGGGATAAGACTTAAATTTAAAAATTATATCTTCCCTCCTCCCTCCCTCCCTTCTTTCCTTCCTTCCTTCCTATCTGCTTAGACAGAAAGAAACTTTTGATTTCTCCATCAGTTAATCACTCAGCTTGCTGATGGTAGTGGCAGTCATACGAAGACTACCTCTTAGCCATCTGTAGGTTTAGACTGCTATTGACAGTCAGTGTTCTCTGGGTTTTGTTGATAAATAGAATCATTTCTGAAGTCATTGGTAGCAAATTGGTTCTTTGCTGTGGCTTGGTGGTGCGGGCCTGTGGAGTACGTACTGAATTATTTGAATATTACTGTGCTGCTGCAGTCATCCATCAATGCCACTGTCCCCTCCTCTCTTGCTTGCTTGTTGATAACCGATGCAGGATGTCAGTCACCACATGCATCTGATGGGGCGGGACAAGGTGCCCGCCACCACCTGACTTCACACAGTGTGGGAGGGAGGACCTGGGTCCTCCTTCTGCAGGGGATGGAGGGGTGGCATGGAGTAGAACCTAAACAAATAAATAAACCCAACTGGGGAAGAAGCACAAAATAATAATTTATATGAAACTTATGGGAATTACTTTTAATTTGAAGTTTGGAGGAAAATTGTGAAAGACGGGTGGAAGACCGTATTTTCTTTTTTCCCTGGATGTAGAATATAAGCATTTATTTTCCATATTTATTTGATTTATGCCTTTAAAACTGACTGCCAGGTTTTTCCTTAACTAACCAAGTATACTTCTAGAACATATAGTATATTTTCCTTCCCTCTTTTATTAGGGAAACTTAATCTAGGATATGGAAAGATGAAGACACTGGACTGGTCGATTCCTGGTGTCTTTTCTCTATAAAGCCCTATAATCCTTGGAAAACACACAAGTGTTCAGAGAAGAGTCACTGTCACCATTAAATTATTATGAAATGATCTATCTATAAGAAAAAAAGTGTCTGGGATTATTCAACCCAATGAAGAGAAGACTGATGGTGACTTGGTTAACTTGTAAATGTACAAAGGGATGGAGGTAAAGCAGGAGATTTCCAGCTCCTCCCCACATCCTGTAAGGACTGATATAATTTCTCTCCTACTTACTTCTCAAAGCTCATCTCCTCCAATCTTCCTCTTGTTCTCTATGCTTCCGTCACCTTCATGAGGTGAGCAAATTTAAGCTTTTCTTTCTGCTAGTGATCCCTTTCCAGGTCTTTGCATGATTGGCTCTTTTAGTCTTTTAGGTTTCAGTTAAAATGTTACCTTCTAAGGGGTCCTTCTCAGATCCCCCAATCTAAATAGCATCCCACACCCCAGACTTAGGCACAAATCACATCACTCTCTTTCACTATTTCTAGGACTTTTATTACTGTTGGAAATTACCTTATTCATTCATTTACTTTCTTTTTTACTGTTTTTCTTCTCTCAGTAGACGGCAAATTCCGTGGGACCGGGGACTTTTGTCTGTTCCATTATTACTGAGCCTTAAGTACCTAGAAGAGCACCTGCTTGTAGTAGGTGCTCATTAAATGTTTGTGAAAAGATTAAAGGACCTAATAAATAGAAAAAGTTAATTATAATGATGTTGATGATAGTAGGTGATGAGAATTTCTTTTATATTGTGCTTTATATTTTATATAGTTCATCTCATTTTATATAAATTATTATTTATTTCTGATGAGGCTGTTAAAAACTGACATAAATGCTGAGAAACGTTGTATATTTTCTTTCTTTTTATTTTAAAAATACAATTCAGCATATCAAATTCTTTATTTGGAAGCAAGGAAACCATGTCCTGAGATTCTGAAGAAGCACATTTGTATCTTGTCTTGATGTTTCTCAGGTTGGAATCCCTGACTGTAATCTGTCCTATGAATATTCCACTGTAGGATGACGACCTGGAAACAGACGTGGACAAGCTGAGTTCCAAACCTGGTCTTGACCGACCTGAAGAGGAACTGATGCAATATGAGGCAATGTGTTGTGAGCTCTCCTGTAGCTTCGAGGTAGGTCATATGCTTTGGTTCTGCTCTTTGGAGATGCATGATGGGTTCTTTGCAGAACCTGGGAGGCCAAACAGAGATGTCCAGATGGAAAGTCTTGCTCATCATTAGCAATCTTCTTCTGGGATCTTTCTGAGAGAAAAGTGAAATGCTAAGCAAAAATGTGAAAAAGGTGGCCAACCTAGGATGCACGCAAGGGTTCTACAATTTGGTTCTACACCTAGGTTAGAAATATAGTCATGTGCTGCATAATGACATTTTGGCCAACAATGGACCACGTATATGATGGTAGTTTCATATGATTATAATACCATACTCTTACTGTACTTTTTCTGCATGTAGCTGTATGTGAATACACAAGTACTCACTAGTGTGTTACAGTTGCCTACAGTATTCAGCACAGTAACGTGCTGTACAGGTTTGTAGCCCAGGAGCAACAGGCTGTGCTACACCATATAGCCTAGGCGTGTAGCGGGCTACCGTCTAGGTTTATGTGAGTGCACTCTATGATGTCTGCACAGTGACAAAATTGCCTAATGACACATTTCTCAGAAGGTTTCCCCTTTGTTATGTGATGCATGACTGTGGAATGAAGGTACACATCACTACCTATTGTCTGGTGGGCAAGGTGCCCTGCCCCTATGCACTGAAAAAGCCAATGAAAATTCATGATGATTTAATTGTTACCATGCCAAAGTGAGAAAATTGTCTTAGATGATTTTTTGAAGGTGGCCATCCTGATTCCAGGCTTTTTTTTTTTATTAGTAGAAACAAATTGGGAAACGTAGATCTAGTGATGTTAATCCAGAGTCTAGTTGCTGCTGCTGCTGTTGCTGTCATCAATATTTTAGATGTACTTTTTGATCTCCATTATTTTCTATGGCTCTTAATAAGTCATGAATTTGGGTACATCTAAGGGTGTAAGCTAAGTCACGTGTACGAAAGGGAGTTCATATATTCTGTTTCCCTTCAGAAAGCAAAAGGGGATCGGTAGTAACAGTTTCAGGGAAGGAAATTTCAGTTCAGTGTAAGTAAGAATTTTTAAAAGTAATCAGAATTATCCTCAAATGAAAGACATCACATTCGGGTGCAGTGAGGCCCCCATAAATGAAATTGTTCAACCCGGTTGTAATTTAGTGGGGGTGTTACAGAAGACATTCATGTATCGTTTAGAGTCGAAATCTCCTTCCAAACATGAGTTGCTATGATTCCGTCATTTATTTGACTCTTGAAGGTCAGTCTTTCTTGGTTGACCTTGGAAAATGCTTCTGAATTCACAAGATTTATGCTTAGCTCTGAGCCCAGAGAGTAAGGACAGGGACCAAATTGTATTCTCTACCTGGAAGGAAACACTAACACACTCTTTTCCATTTTAAACCTGAAGGAACTGGAGTCCCAATTTGAAGATAATGGGAACTCTGGAGAGATTCAGTGCGCCAATCACCACATTCCCGCTGCTGCTTCCTCGAAGCAGCATTGCTTGAGTAAAGACCAAAGCTCCAGGGGGCAGGGAAGAGAAGAGACAGCCCAGACTTCCCTTTTGCACATGGTGAAGATGGGGAGGTCCGCTGTGCATCTGGCCTCCAGAAAAAGGCCTGTAGTGAACCCATACCAAAACGTACAGTCCAACGATCTTGGGAGAGATTCTTCTGGAAATGAAATCCCTAACACTCAGGCTTCCCTGAAAGAGGATGCCAGGGACTTAGATGCGATTTTCTGCTCAAGGATGACTGCCTTCTTCTCCAACTCCACGAGGCCCAGAGAAACAGCTGCAGTAATAGATAAGCTTCTGCAGACACACCCAAAGCGTATACCTTTCCATGATCCTTATCTTTATATGGCCAAAGCCAGAAGAACCACATCTGTGGTGGACTTCAAGACAATGGCAATTCCTGACCTCTGGGGACACTGTCCACCTCCCTCTTCCCAGTGCATGTTGGAACGCAAACGTGGAGTCCAAAGGTGGTGGTGCTACTTATTTGAAAGCTCTATTTTTTCCTCTTCTTTAATATTTTTATAGGCTGGATGGTTTGTACAAATAATTCTGCCATCTATGGTAAAGTGAGCATTATTCAGGAACATGTTAAAGCCTGTCGGGAAACTTGGGCCAAACATGCAAACTCGCCTTCCTACAAGGTCATTTCAGAATTCAGCGAAAGGCAGTGGTAGGCAAGGAATTCCTTATGTGATTCCAATGCAGCTCCTTACCTCACCTACACTGCAAACCACTACAACAGGGAAAGATTATCTAGTTTCTGCAAATACCAGGATCTTTCCTCAAAAGGAGGTTTTCAGAAAAATCAAGAACTGATTATTTGAGATCTCTTTCCTTGTTTACTGCAAACTGCTATGGGATCTCTTGCTAATAAGAGAGGGTGTGCCTTCATTCCACAGCCGCAGACTTATAGACCCTGGCTTGGTTTGGAGAACAGTTTTGCTGCATGACTTAGGATGAGATAGAAAGATACGTTTTTCAGGCAGAAACACTGGGTGATAGATTATTTCCAGAATGCGGGAAAGGGAGCTTTGTCTTTAGCTCCAACACAGTAAGATTAAAACAAAAACCGCTAAAGCCGAGGAAAAAATTATTTTTCTTGAAAAAAAAGTATGCAGATATTAAGTCAATGAAGCAGTGTGCAGACCAGAATACTTCGTTAACTTATTTTCCATGTAATCAATAAATTGTTCTCTTGATGGTGGATCCCAAGAACTGCTCCTATTTGAGCTCCTTGCTGATAGCTCTGACCCTACTCCTGCACATTTTCTGCCACGCTCAAGTTTTTTGAGAAACACACCACGGGGCTGATCTAGCACCATCTTACCCTTGCGTAGAACAACTTCCCTCTGAGTCTAGGTCTCATGTCCACCTCCCCCTCCACCTTCCCCCTTCACCTCCCCCAACCCCAGTGAACTGGACTGGAGATTCAAGAAGGTAATCTGGAAGACCCCCTACACTTTCTTCTTTCCTCTTACTTAAATCTCCCAAATATTTCTGTTTCTTAGACAGAAGATTGACCTTAGCTTCCTGGAACAGACAGAGCGCAGGGAATATAAATGGCATAAGATTACAAAGGCTTATGGGAGCCTCCCTAACCTTGAGGATGCTCACAGTTAATAGTCCTAAAGTCTCCCTTAGAACTGTCTCAGTGCAAAGGACCCCTTATTCACATAGCCAGAAAAGTTCCAAAGTTCCTCGGCCCAAATTGTCTTGACAAAACTCATCTTCAACCTAAGAATCCTCTAGCTAAAATCTAACATCGCTGCTTCCTACATTCCTACTTCTCAGTGTAGATTTATTTCTTGAGAAAGAAGAGAAGGGAGGGCGTTGCTGTTTTCACCCTTTGAGCTCAAGGTTGGGGGTGTTATTAAACTTCTCTCTGCTTTCATGTTTCTCTGATGACCCCCAATGCCCTTGCCGGGTGACCAGAGGATGAATGGGGTGGGGAGTGAAGGCTGACCCTTAAAATGTTCTCAATTTTCCTTTTCAGGATCAAGATATTAGAGGATGTCCGGAGACTTATCCAGCCAATTGATGTTGTCAATAAAGTCGTCTTCAGTTTAGATGAGCCTCGGTAGGTGGTGTTGTGTATCCACGGGATAGGGTGCATGGAGAATTCTGTTAACGGCAAGAGAACAGGAGTGTTTCATGTTATAATAATAATCCATTCCTACTCCTAAAAATAGCATGATGAAGAGTAAGGTTAAAGTTCTATAAGAAAGAGCTTATCTTTAAGAAATGTCAAATGGTGTTTAAGAATAGCAGTGATGCACGTGTTCATGAGTTCTTGATTTCATTACAGGCCTTTGCAAGATACGGCTTCTAATTGCTTAAGGTTCTTCTCCCAGTTTGAGTCAGGAAATCTTCGCAAAGCCATCCAAGTGCGTGAGTAAGTAAGAAAGCCCAGGGCTGGCTCCTGGCAGCTCATGAGAGCAGGTTGTGACCATCTCTTCCCCATTCTCTGTTCAATGATCCCACATTGGCAGCTTGAAATCAGCCATGGTGGGAGTATTTACACCATAAAATTTGGCAAAGACTACAAATGAAGGTTTTTCCTGTCAGAGAGGCAGGTTTTAAACATTTACCAGCACACCACTAGGAGACTCACCAGCTATCACAGCAGAGTGAGCTGTTCATGAGAGGTCAACTGCTGTGAGTATGCCTTATGTTCCAAATAACAAGTCCATGTTTGGCTGCGAGAGTACTTTGACCAGGATGTTTGTACTTCGATTATGCCAAAGCTGGATCTGTTGGCATGGAAGGGTACATGGTGCTGTTTTTCCTGCACCTCTGTAGATTGTTGCTCCCACATCAGTGAACTTAGGTGGCAAAAATCACGGGCTTTTCATGGAGAGGTGGGGACCAGCCTTCATTCGAGGGAACGTGCGGTACTCTGCCTCTCTGGCAGAACCTACCGACGAGCTGTAAATAGAAAAGGGTTTCATAAGCAAGGAAAACCTAGAGCTGCACAAACTAAAAGGAAGCAAATAAAAAAAACACAAATGAGTTTTCTTTTTTCAGTGGCAGAAGAGACTGGTGTTCTCACTACATTATAATTCTGTCTACCATAGCAGTGTGGATTATATTTCCCGAATACCAAAAGGCAAGATACATGAGTGCTGTCCGGAAAGTATCCAGCTATTATATCCATGTACCCACTATATTCATGGCTGGATATTTTTCGGACAGCCTGCCTATAATCCATTTCCTATTGGTGAACTTGTGAAAGAACAGTCCAAAACACTTAATGGTGTAGTGGCCACTACAGCTACAGACGTTGCCAGGGCAACTTTACCTCTTCCTAACCAGGAGACTGAGCAAGTTTCCTAATTAACTCCATGCCTTTATTTCCTCACTTATAAAATGAAGACAGGGATTCTATGATAGTTCAACGGTACACAGAAAGCTCTAAGAGTAGTACCTGGGAGCACTCAGTTAACGTAAGTTCTTACTCAGGGATGCGTATTCACTGTGACTGGGGCAGAGCTTAGTACAGCTCAGCCCTGTTTTATATCTACCTGAGGACATATTTTAGAACTTTTTCTTTTTGTGGGGAGGTGTAGGGTGATTCTTTCTTTGGTGCATTAAATATTTTAAGGGAGCCCAACCTATAAAACACAGACAAGTTGAGCTACTTGGGCTGAAGAAGAGAAAGACAATCATGTCAAGACCTCTTCTAAGCTTTTTTCTCTTTCTGTCATAAGCTCAGCTTCCACTTGTTCCTATAGCTCCTGCTTTTATTATTTCTTCTCTCCAGATATCATGTTAGAAGGATCCAGGAGAGAAGACCAGATTAACACTCTCCTAGCGGGACGGTTGTCAGTCTGGGATGTGCCTAAGCTCTGGCCTGGCTCAGGTCTCTTTCTCTATCCATCTGCCTTTGACCAGGGTGTAGGATCCTAAACTAATCTGTCGTGGTCAGAGTAACAGAGTCAAATGACAGTAAACAAAACTGCTTATAAGTAAGAAATGTTTATGATCACTTTTTGGAGAGAGCACTGTGGGAATAGCAGATAATTTAAAGGTCATAGGCTTTGCGGACTTGTGCTTCTGAGTGACCCTCAGTGGGTTATGCTTCATTCACCGTGAGGTGAGCTCAGTGGTTAGCATGCAAGTGCTAACATGACAGCATGAAGGGTGGACTCCATCAGATAGCTGCTCCTATATGTCCTATATCAACCTCTATCCTGTCACAAATCTTACAGTGCCACGTACCAGGGGTCCAGAGTGGGAGAGCATGAATATGCCCTTTACTACATGTAAATTAGATCTCAATGAAAATGAAACAACCCTTGTATCGCTAACCTAATTCGTGTTTGTTGCTCTGCTGAGGGATTTACATTTACTATACTATTTAATTTTTACAAACAGCATTGTAAGTTTAGATGTGATTTCCATTTTCCATATGAGGGAACTGAAGCTCAAAAGTAATGTCTAACATCAAATAGTAATGGCAGGTCCAAACCAGGTGTGACTGAATTTTCTCTGGGATATAGCACACTTGCATTTTTCTATATGGATAAAAAACTTATTATAGTTTAATAAAAAGATATGCTATAGTTGTGTAGCTGACCCTTCTAATACTAAGAAACTCTCCTACTCCCATGAATTTCCAAAGCCTGTGCCCGATTTTGAGAGATAAGGAAAATAACTATAATTTACCAGCCAACTGAGATCCTGGGTCTTAGATCTATAACCCAGTGCCTGAGATATGTAGATTCTGAGTATTGGAAGTTACCTTGAAGACTTTCCAGATGACCCTCCCATGTTGCTTCTGACTCCGCAGGTTTGAGTACGACTTGTTGGTCAACACCGATGTGAACGGCACCCAGCACCAGCAGTGGTTCTACTTTGAGGTGAGCGGTATGCGTGCAGCCATCCCTTACCGCTTCAACATCATCAACTGTGAGAAGCCCAACAGCCAATTTAATTATGGTATGCACTTGGGGGGGAACACGGGCTTTCTGGAGAATACCAGCAATGATATCTTGACTGCCTGGATTAGTACCAGAGCCTTGTTGGGTTCCTAGGGGATTTGAAGTTGGGCTGGCACACTTTGGTTGCCAGGCGTGGCAAGGCAGTGGCCCACCAATGGCACACCACTACTATGGAGGGGAAGCTGGTGTATCCCACACCCCCTGCCACCTCCCCGCTGCCCCCAGCTGTGGAATGGGAGTAGCACACATAACATCCCACTACTTCCTGATTCCCTTGCTCCACCTTGAACTTTTTGAGATTGGTGAGATCTTTCATTTATTCCTTCTCTCCGTCTCCTAAATCCCACAGGAGCAAATCTTTTGACTGCTTGTCATAAGACAGGGAAAACAGCAAAACCCTACTGGACAACACTGATTGACACCCTCAGAAAACTTTATACAAAGTTTAAATTCTCTTGAATACCTGTGGCCATTTCTGAGGAGACATTCAAGAGACAAGGACTGATTAGCAACCCATATTTATTTTGAATGTTTCTAGGAATGGAAAATTCTGTTTACTATGGCTGGATTATATACTAATTTGCTGGGTGGCTTTGAATGAGGAATAAATATTCCCAGGTGTTTAGGTTTGAGCACAGCCTTTATTTTGTAGTGACTAAACAGATTCTTGCTGGTGTAGAAAGAGAAAATAAGAACCTTGACTCTGTATTCACTTTGCACAGCTGCTGTAACAAATTGTCACAAACCTGGTGTTTTAAAACAAGATGAATTTATTCTCTTACGGTTCTGGGGTCTGGAAGTCCAAATTCAATTTCACTGGGCTAAAGGCAAGGTGTTGGCCCGGGCCATGTTCCCTCTGGAGAATCCAGGGGACAATACATTTCCTTTCTTTTTCCAGCTTCTAGTGCAACAGTCCCTGCATTCTTTGGTGGCTGGTCCCTTCCTCCACCTTCAGAGCAAACAGCATAGCATCTTCACATCTCTCTCTGCTTCAGTCACCTTGTGTCTCTTCTACAGTCAAACCTCCCTCTGCCTCCCTCCTATAATGACATTTCGGATTGCATTTAGGGCTTTCCAGGATAATCTCCTCATTTTAAGGTCCTTAACTTAGTCACATCTGCAAAGTCTCTTGGGCCACGTAGGGTTAGCATTCACAGTTTCCAGGGGTTCAGGTCTGGATATCTTGCTGGGCCATTATTCAACCCACCACAACTCTCTTTCCATTTTCTCTTTCTCTCGCGGATTAATTCCTGCTTTTGTTTCACGTAGGGATGCAGCCAACCCTGTATTCCGTGAAGGAGGCTCTTCTTGGCAGACCCACTTGGATACGGACAGGCCATGAAATCTGTTATTATAGGTAAATGATAGTGCTGTGAGCTTCCTCTTCTCTGCCCTGTTGTCCCCTCTCGATTTCCTGCTTTTCCATATCAATCTTATAAACATCGGGAATCTCTGCTTGTCTGCTATACTTGTCCCTATGTCCTGATGGCAAATTCTTCACCTTTCAGAGGCACAAGCATGTTCATTGGCACCCACAGTAGACCCTCCAAAATATCTTTTGATTTGCTGAAAGATGGTTTATCTTTATTTAAGCACATTCAAACTTTTAGATCTTGTTAGATATTTGTTGTTAGAGTTTGAAGTTGCAAACTCAACCTATGATTAAACCTTAGCTCTTTATCTGTTTCTATTGGAGCCAGTGAACAAAAAGTCTGAGATATCCTTTCCAATTCCTATCCACTCCATGCTTCAGTTTGCTAATGTTCAAGAGAGTGAATATGTGACAAGTACAGTTAAGTAACTTTTCCTCCACAGCAAGATGATTTTTTGGCAAAAGATAAAATAGGGAGGGGTTTTAAAATTCATCTTCAATCCTTGGTCAGTAGCCAGTTTCATCAATTTCTCCTGCAAAGTTGTAATGAATGAAATTTAAATTATCTATATATTATGATGAAAGAAATGGATTCCAGACCTAGGAATTGCTTGCGTACACATTTTCCTCAGATGGAAAATAAAATTTAAATTCATAAGGAAAAAAAAAAGGATAGGAATTGCTAAGAGAGGTAGAAATATATAATTAATTATTATTAGTTCATTGTTAGTTTCCTATAATAACTGATAGGCTAGTACAAACTCTTGCTATACTTGTTTATAAAGTAAGTCTTATTTCTTTCTGAGATTACAAAAGGCCCCTAACAAACCTAGTACCAGACATTCTAGAGTTTAGGATAGTTATCACTATTAAAAAGAATGATGGTTGGCCGGGCGCGGTGGCTCACGCCTGTAATCCTAGCTCTCTGGGAGGCCGAGGCGGGTGGATTGTTTGAGCTCAGCAGTTTGAAACCAGCCTGAGCAAGAGCGAGACCCTGTCTCTACTAAAAATAGAAAGAAATTAATTGGACAACTAAA